CTGACGGCAGCACAGCTTTCCCTTTTTTCCCCAGCAAGACAAGCTCCCGGGGGAAGGAAGTCGTGGTGCACGGGGACTGAACGGCGTGTTGAGTGGAAAGAGGGCGCTGCACGAGTCAGGGCTTGTTTGGGCTCAGTGTAAAAATACAGACCAGAAAAAAAGCAAATTTCGTGTGTTCGGACTCAGCACGTTACTGAGGGGCGTTCGGCCGGTGATACTTCGCCAACCGAAGGTGACCACAGTGATAAAACAGTGCTTGTCTGGGTTTTTTTGTATGCAGTAAGTCAGCAGAGTTCACGGGCAGGTTGTCCTTGGTCTCGCACGGTGAACACGGCACCTTTTAGTACTAAATGCGTGTGCTTGAACTTCTTAGTGACTTGAGGTCTTTTGTCGTGCTAATGGTGCTGCTGGTGGTGCATTATTAATTAATAATGCAGGGAGGAGCATGAAATTCGTGGATTAGCAACTCACAGTATCGAGAGCACAGTCTGCAGAGGGATGAGAGCACAGATACGTTCTGAACTTGTGTTCAGTTTGGATAGGAAGGGTTAGAAGATTTTCTGTTCCACATTATTTTGATAGAGTCAGCTGGACTTAAGGAAAGCTAATGCAGCTATTTAATAATAGCAGAAATGGTAATTTAAATTGTTTTCTGGTCTTCCACATAGCCCGTAAGTGGCACAGAAATGGCATCAAGAAACCCAGGTCCCATAGATACGAATCTCTCAAAGGGGTGAGTATTTCTATTAATATCTCCAGGCTGTTAATTCGTTGAGACTTAACCATGAAGAAAAATCCAATATTTGTATTATTTTGATTGGTGTATTTTTTTGTAGACAGGGGCTTGTGTTTCAGATGGTCAGAACCACTGTGGGTTTCTATTTTATCTTTGCTTATCTCACATGCAACTGTGGTATTTCTTACCCACATGAAAGCCACCCTTGTACGTTTACAAAACTGCTTTTCAGTTATGGGCCAGTTTTGTCTCTGTTCTGCTCAGGTGGGTATCACTGACTGCTGCTACTAGTGAAACAGACGTGTCAGTTGGATAGCTCTTCTCCCTTTTGAGTTCTGCTGTGTCTTCTACTTCTCTGTACCCTTCAATATTAGTTTACTATCTGTACTAATCCAGAGAATTTCACTCAGAAGATGAGAGGAGTTGGCATTTCTGGACAATACCTATGAAAATTACTGCATTTTGGTTTTTCTGAGGTTAGACAAGTGATACAACAGGATATTTTTCCACACTTCAAAATGAAAATGGGACGTTTTGCCTTTGGGGGGAGGGTTGTGGTGCTCTTAGTTTTGTAGATGTGACATGGGCTTTTTGGGTGTGACATAAAAGCTTGTCTTCTGCGTAGCTCAGTGAAGGTTCAGTCCTGCCCCCTCCTGCAGGTAGTCCGGCAGTCTCCGAGTCTGTCTCCTTGCACCGAGTGCATAAGTTAAGATGAAAAAATCCTAACACTCATGTGTGACACTTAAAACACTGTTTACAGTAAAATAGCAGATGTTTCTCAGTGGAGCAGTACCTGATAGTTCTGAGAACTGGTCCTAGCCATGACAGGATGCGTTAGCCAGGCATTAGCTGGCAAAAACTGGGGAGCTACTCTCCTCTGTGCTGTCATTATTTTCCTTTAACGTAAAAAAGGAAAGGCCTGAGGGAATGTCACTGGTCTTTGCCCCAGGGTTACAATGTGTATGTGCTCACCTGCCAGGGTTGGTTTGTGGTACTTCAGATCCAGAATGTATTGTGACATGGAAATGAAATTTGTCTTGTTTACAGCTTTATTTAGCTTGTCGCGTTCTTTCTGTATAGTTATTTATTGCTGTGGTTTGGGGTTGGTTTGTTTGTTTATTGCAATTAAGGAAAATAGCTAGTTAAAGGATGGTTACAGATGGCTAAAATAATTTTATTGATGTAATAAATCAGAAAAAAAAATCCGAATTAATCATAGCTAGCGTTTGGGAATAATTGGAACAATCTGGAGATATATATGTTTCTGCATATGTCTCTTGTACAACATGGCTTATTTTTTCCTTACTGTTCTAGGTTGATCCCAAGTTTCTGAGGAACATGAGATTTGCAAAGAAACACAACAAAAAGGGGCTGAAGAAGATGCAGGCCAACAACGCCAAGCAGGCGGCTGCTCAGCAGAAAAAGGACTGATGTGTTTTAAGACAAAGACCAGTTTTCCTTTTGGCATGTGTGTTACAGCATTTTTGTAATAATAAAATTGGATGTAACAAAATCTTCACCTCCCAAATTTGAGGAGAATCCTACAAAAGTCTTGTTTGAGTTGTATTTTAGATGCCTGCCAGAGCTGCGGAGAGATTTTGCATTAATATTGTCAGGCTCCACACCTAAAGTAAAACAGCTGCTCCCTCCTCAGTGCTGTTCTGCTGTAATTATTGGTACAGGTCATGAGTGTTCAGCAGTTGAAAGTCTGTTTTCAAGTTGTGGAGTGGTTATTGAGGGAAGCTTTAAAATTTGAACAAGAAACAACTTGTTTCTTCTCGTATAAATTGAAGCCAGTGTTGTCTGGACTTTTGGGTGACAGTATTCAATACAGATAAAGTTATTTTGATACTGGCATTCATGTTCAGAGTTCTCATATGCCACAATTTTTATGGTAGTTTGTAGTGCTGTTAGAGCAAGATGAGATTTCCAAGGGCTGTTACATGTCTGCTGGTTTGCTGTCCAGGTAAGGTAGTTACAGCTACAGAAATCTGGAAGAGTGGCAGGGTACCGAGTGCTGACTAAGGTGTTAGAGATCATAGCAATTGGTGTCAGAAATGGTGTGTGTTTTGTATTCTGAAATACTTAAAAGTATTGAAGTGTTAATGGAGCTACGATGGGAATGTGTAAGGTTATAGAACTATATAAAATACCCATATTTTTCATAGTTACTGTATTTTAGTGGAGATCTTTTGTTGCAGTAACAAAGTACCTACTTGATGAAATGTGCTGACAGGTGAGATAAAGGACTAACATCCAAAAGCCCAAGAGGTGTTGTGACAGGGATTTGTTACTGCTGTCCTGTAGATCAGGAGAGGACTTCACTCTCCAGGTGCCACCAGCCAGCAAAGCTGATTCCGGAGGTGAAATGAGCCACCTGTTAAAATGCAACGAACTGTTCCTGAAACTGCAGTTCCAACGCCTGTCCACCCGGTGGTGTAGATCCACAGATCGACACAGAGGCTGGAAGTTTGCAAGTGTCTTCTGTCTTTGCAGTATAGCGGCAAAACACTTGCTGGATTTCTTTTCAAAAAGAAAAATTTGTCTGAAATATCTAATTAATGTAATTGATTTTTTTAATAGTTTAGCCAATTATCAAAGTGCAATGTTTTGAAACAAGTATTTTGAATTCTTTATGGCTTGAATTCACAAGGGTTTTTTTTCCCCAATTGCCACTTTTTATTTGTTTTTGACTAATTAAAAATACCACTCAGCCCTAAACCAGGCAGTATAAAGATATTTACTAACTTAAAACTCAGGAGTCAAGAGCTTTTAAAGTCTGAGGGAAGTCTGCAAGCCCTAACTGTCTGATTCCTTCTGTGGACATATTTTGGGCTGTTGTGGAGGTTGATGTTTGTCAGATGAAAGAATTTGATTGCTGCGCAAGAGCAGCGTGCTGGTCAGGAGGGATGCTGTGTTGCAGAGAGCGTACAGTCACAGGGCTCGTACCACCAGCTAGAGTCTGCTAAATAGTCACAACAGAAATGTTGTCTGGTCCCTTCTGCCCTCAGGAAAGGCAGGAGGTCAACACATAAGAGGTTCCTGGTGGTGTTAATCCTCCCTGGAGATGTGTTTTTTGCAAGTGACAGGTCACCCAGGGACAGATACATGGTGCTTAAATCCCACTGGCCTCAGTGGTACCCAAGTGCCTGTGGGTATAGGAGGTCTCAATCTGTGTGGCTGGTGCCTTCTCTGCTTGAGAGAGTTTGTCTACAAAGGCAAGATTGCATAGCTGCGGTGCAGGTTAGCGTGTGCATCTGGCAGCCTCAGCTGCCAGCCCGGAGCTGCCCAGCATCGTCCTGCAGCCTTGCTGGGGCTGGCAGAGAAACCCAGCATGGGCAGATGTCCCTCTGGGTTGCTGCTGGTGCTGGAGGAGACAGAGTGGCTGGTCCAGCTCTGTAAGTGAAGGTCAGTCTGGTGCAGGTGTGTCGTGACAAGAAGAGTGAAAGAAAAGCCTTTGAACAGAGCTCTTTGTTTGTCTTGGTGCATCTTCGCCTGTGTGTCTGCAGATCTCCAGCCTCTTTTAAGTTCTGCATTTGAACTCCCTAGCACTAAGGCTTTCTATCTCGGAGGATTTCATGTCTGAACCCTCTTGATGTCTTCTGCAAAGTGCTCGTGTTGTGAGAGTAGCTCACTCGCAGGATGCGGTTTGAGGGAAGAGAGAGGCGAGGGTGAGGCTGAGAAAAGGATGTTGGCATGTTAAGAAGCAGAGAGAAAGATTTAGGCTTCCTGTGGCTCCAGGCAGCTCCCCCAGGCCTGCCTGCAGAAGCAGCCCTTTCATCTTGCTGCCCTTCATGCTGCCCTTCAGTGGGACACCTTCCCAAATAAGGGCTCGCTGACTTTCTGACCAAAATAGCGGCTGCGTGACAAAGTGCAGCGCGGAGGAACGTAACCTTAATCCAGACATCATTGTGTAGCAAGAGACAGGAATTTTGTGAGGCTTCCCCAGCAGCTTGGTGTCAGGTTTGTTGTTGTCTGATCCCTGCACACATGGTGGTCCTGCAGGATGCTGCCTGGACAGTAGTTGGTAATCTATTGCATTTTCTAACCCCATGACAGCTCAGTCGACAATTTCCCTGCTTGTAGAGGTTACCCCAGCCCAGAAGGGAAGGCTGTGGAGAGGAGCCTGTGCTGACACAGCCTCCTGGTAGGTCTTCATCCTCTTTCACTTGCCTTGTGAAGTCAAATTTAAGTTCTGTGTCTTGATTTCTGTTGGTCAAGTGAGGCTGAAGATTCTTTTTAAGAGGATTATGTATGCAGAGCCCAGGATATGGAACTGGCAGCTGTGGCCCGCTCAAAACTATTCCCATTACGCAGAGCTCTGTCATCTCTGACATTTAAAAACTGCAGAACTCCTAAGATGCAGCCCTTGGTCTCCTGCAGGAAGCCAATGAGCTTGAGAGCATCTCTCTGCTCAGCTACTGCTGCGCATCAGGTTATACATTTCATGTTTGCTGCTGGTGTATGTCATACTCGCTGCAGATATTTCTCCCTGTTGCAATTAAGAGGACTCAGTATCAAGTTCCAGTTTGGCTCCTTTTTTCCCTTTGGTTACAAAAAAAGAAAAAAGACAGGGAGCAAAGGGCACGTAACTGAATACTGGATCAGCTCATTTGGCAAAGATGAGGGATCTCACTGCAAGCCAAGAGCACAGCACTGGGAGGAGAAATCAGCACTGGGAAATGCTCTGATGGGACAGAGTATTCACTGGGGACATTGATGTTCTCAGTGAAAATGAGAAGTAGGGCTGGACATGTGTTGCTCTGTCCCCATTTCCTGCCTTCCAGTAGTGTGTTAAACAAAAAGCGGTGAACAGAACGAGTTCTGCTTTGCCCAGGTTTCGAGGCCATTGCAGGTGTTTCTACACGACAGGGGCTTTGGCATGGTGAAATGTCATTTCTCTGACCTATCTTAGCCCGCGTTAACGCTGCTGCTGCAGGAATTAAATCCACTGCCAGCAAAAACAAGCAGAACAAATGACCTGAGCACTGTGGCTGTGCCCAGTGGCACGGGCTGCCGTCAGCTGCCAGCGCAGCGCCCGTTTCAGCTGGGGGTTAAGCGCACACAGGTTTGGGGGCTGGGTTAGAGAGTGGTAAATGGCTTTTTACCTGGTAAAAAAATGGATGGATGTTTCAATGACTACTTTTATTTTCCTTTTAAACAGTGCTTGTGGATCTGGGGTTGGAACTAGATGATCTTTAAGGTCACTTCCAACCCGAACCATTCTATGATATGTGTCATGTTCCTTAAAGGCTTCTGGCACCAAAACTTCGCAACACATGCAGGGAAAACTGCAAAGTTATTTGGAGTTGCGTAGAGACATGGACTCCTCTGGGTGGTTTTCATTCATCATTAGCACAACTTCAGGCATGTCCCTTCTGTGGAGGCTTCAACCAGGCTGATCCTTGTACTTGGTACTGGTTTTCCAGCCGTCTGACCTGCATGCTGGCCTGTCGCGTCCTGTTACATTCCTTATGCAGTTGTTCCTGTGTTTTAGCCAGCAGTGAAATCCTCCTGCAGCGCCCCACCCCATGGCATTTGCTGTCTTACTTTTGGAGGACAGTCAGTGTGTTAAGACAAATGGGTCTCACAGCAGTTTCAGACTTCACCCAGGGCACGCTGACGTGCTGGCACCTCTGGTCTAACGACTAAAAAAGCACAAACGGTCCCCAGCATGTCAGCTCTTCTAGGGGCAAGTTTAAGCTGATACAAGACCTGGATCCTCTTTCTTTCCAGCCACAATCTTGCCTGTTTTGTTCTCAGAAAAGAGTGGGTAGATGACGAGGCTGACTTGCTGCTGCCTGTGCCACTGAACTGAGGGAAGAGAGGTTCATCATTTTCCCTGGGGTCACAGCAAGAGTCCAGGCATCCCGCTAGGCCACCAAGTTGGCTGAAGGGAGGGGGTTAAAATGGGAAAGTTCCTTATTTTTTCTCTCATTCACTCTTTAGGGAGCCAAAGCCTGTCCATAAGCAGTAGTAAGTATGTTGGAGGAGCCTGTATTAAGTGTTGACATCTGGTCGGGACAGAGGATGGTAATGGGGCTGCTGGTGATGCCTGCTGAGATGTGATGTGAGAGCGTGGGTTGCCCATGGGCTGGATGGCTATGGCTGTGGGGAGAGTCACCTTGGCTCGCAGCCGAAGCCTGGGTATTTGCACCTCTGCAGAGGTGTCCTGGGGTAAAGCATTTCAGCTGTGTCCTCGGGAGCAGGTCTAGTGGGAAATGACTTCTGTTGCTACCTTGGGGAGGTGGAAAATGATTATTTTTTGATCTCTAGGCTGTGGATTCATTGGAAACAGAAGATGGTAACACTTGGGAGCGTTTTCTGTCACAGGGTTGTTCGACCCAATGCATTGCTGTCTGTTGGCTTCTGGTGCACCTGCAATTCTGCTCCATCAGCAGGAGCTATGGCCTTGCGGGCTTGGGACCCTCGCAGAGACCACTCTGAGCAGGTCTTCCAGATGTTTGCATTAGCAGCATTCTCAAAATACGCTGGGTTTTAAGGAAAATCAGCTGCTCTAGCTGGCAGGGGTGCATTTCCATGGTTTCTCTGGTGTTAACGAGCCCTGGTTGGGCAACATATTTGGTGGTCATTGTCCGGAAGAAAGACACAGCTGTGTCCTTTCCAGCAACAGACAGCCCCTCTCGTACCTGTGCTCACCTCAAGCCTGTTTGGCCTGAATGCCAATATTTCGTTATTGCTACAAATGAGTGTCGCATCAAATTCAGCTGCTCAGGGTGTCATTTCCATGGGAGGATTAAAAAAAAAAAAAGGGAAAAAGCTGGTTTGGGGAGGAAAGGCAGAAGGACGGTGCAGCGGGCAGGAGGGCGCTGGGCCCAAGGGCAGCATCGCTGTGCCAATGTTTATTTTGCTTGGGTAAACGTTTGATTTTAGCAACACGACTGCAATGCGGGAGCTGTGCTGGGGTTGTAATTCGATGGGAGGAGGCAGCTATGCGCAGGGGGAGCTGCTAATGCTGCAGGAAAGCCACGCTTCCTTGGGACGAGGGAAGATGGCACCCGAGGCCCTCAGGGACAGCATGGCATGTCCTCCTCGGCCCCACTGTCATCCTGCACCTGGGGGCCCCTGTGGCCCACGTGGATGTGGTTTCCAAGGGAAAATTGGGTGTTGCGGTTATCGTGGCGAGGCTCCCACCCAGGGCTGCTGGAGGACCGTGTTCCTGAGCACGCTCACCATGGCAGGGGCAAGGAGGTGCAACATAGCAGCCCCCCGCCAAGCACCCGCTGCCCTGTTGGCCGGGCTTTGCCATGGGGCTGGCGGCAAAATACCTCCTTGGAGGCGTAAATCTTCCCAGACAAGGCTTGCAGGCGCTTGGTGTGGCCCCATTAGTCATGCATATGCAAAGTTCTCGCTAAACCTCCAAGGAATGACCATCTGAGGTGTTTGGTATGAACACATTTTATTTTCCCGTTGGCCACCCTTCTCAGCACTCAGTCTTCATGCTGGTAGCCAGGGGACTTATCCAAGGAGATGAGATGAAAGCTGGTTTAGGAGATTTGGGTTGTTCATCTATTCAACTCCCTTCATAAACTCCAGGAATTCTGCAAAGCGGAAGACATTGGAGACAAAGGGAGTAAGGTGGGACTGAAGGGCCCTTGCAGCTGCCAAGAGCACTCCTGGCAGCATTCCCCAGCCCTGTCTCCTTTTCCATCCCCCTGAGGGGTGGGAAGCTGAGGGGGAATGGCTACTGGTCCTCTGGGTGTGGCAAGGGCTCCTCGTGACTCCCACTGGAAATGTCATCAGAGCCCAGCATCACCCTTGGCTGCCACCAAAACGCCAGAGGTCAGCACCCAGGGAGGGACACGGCCACGAGTTCAGCTTGGAAATGGTCTGAGGGTCATTTCAGCAGCATCGCATTCAAAGACACAGCCCTTCAGAGCTGGGGCTTGTGTTGAGGGGGCAGGAGGGGACAGCAGGTTTCTTTGCTTTTCTGCAGGCTGGCTTTCGCAGCGTGGGGAGAGTTGAGGCAGCCCCAGGCCCTTGCTATCCTTCCAGAAAGCATAAGAAACCCCCCCCATCCCTGTGCAATCAGGCATATTGCCCAGCACTGCCTGAAGCAATGCTTCACGCCCATCCCTGAAAGCAACCTGGGAGCTGCCCAGGGGACGCTCAAGGGCTCACAACCAAAATGCAGACAATAAAGACTCCTACCATCGTAGTCAATCCTGCCATCGTTGTTTTTATCTCCATCTTTCATCAGTTCTTCTATGTCATCCTCGGTGATGGTCTCTCCCGTCGCCTGCAGCATGATTTTCAGCTCCTCGAGGTCGATATAGCCATCAGCATTTCTGTGCAAGGACAGAAGAGCTCAGGAGCAGACCGGCACGCTGGGGAGGGGGAGACAGAGTGGCTGCACTGCTCCTGCCACCCCGCTGTGCTGCAGTCACAGCTCTTACTTATCAAACATCCTGAAGAGATCTGAGAGTTCCTCTTCAGTTTTTCCTTTGCTGTCATCTTTCATACACCGGACCATCATAACAAGGAACTCATCAAAGTCTACAGTGCCGCTGCCTGCAGGCAAAATAAACACCATCAGCTGGTGCTACACAGAGTGGACAAGGAACGCCAAGTGAGGGATCACACTTCTCTTTAGTAACCTAGGAGCAAAGGTCAGGTGAGCAGCCCTGCAGCAAGAGGCAGCTTTCAGGACGCTGGTGTAAGTGACTGAGGCCATGGACTGACTTCATCACTGAATTTTTACCTTTTGCCGTCGTTTTGCTAAGGCAGAATGAACCAAAGTCCTACTGGAAGCACTGATGAATGGAAATTTCTGCTATTTCTGCTAATTTCTGATACCTGTCCATCTCATTCAGGTATTAAAAGTTCCAGAAGGCAGGTCTCCATGCAGTGTGTTTTTTTCAATGTGTTTTTTCAAGTGTTGTTTTCAATGACACAGCTGTTTTCCTTTTTCACCTGATTTTTAACTGTTTTTTTGTTTTCCAGTTACTTAGTATGGTATTTCTGCCCACCTTGCACACAGCGGATTTTGTTATGTGTGATCGGTACACTGATTTAATCCATATCAGTTATTTGTGTGTGTGTGTATGTACACTTGTATTCTCACTTTCCCAAAGACAGAATCCTGTAATTGTGGCATTTCTGAAGTTGCAGTTGCTACATTCAGCCTAGATTTTGTTTTATAAATGGATCTGTACGATTTCAGAGTGGCCCCCAAAATCAGTTCAAGCAGCCCGATCATTATAGGAATAATAATGCTTAAAGTTTCTCTTTGCCTGGAAATTTCCTAAAGGATCCACGCTAAAGTTTGGTGAGTGTTGAGTGTTCTTCAAAATCACAGTACTGCCAGTTGCTTGCCTGCAGGCTGTGGCTGTCCCCAGCACAGATCCTGCCAGTGCTGCACAGGCGCTGAGCGTTCCCGACCTGCACTGTGCCTCCCCCATGCCACAGGCATGGTGCCTGGGAGAGTGGAAGAAACCCACATCTCTCACCATCCTCATCCACCTCGTCTATCATCTCCTGCAGCTCCTCAGGGGTGGGGTTCTGCCCCAGCATCCGCATCACCTTCCCCAGCTCCTTGGTGCTGATGCAGCCGTCCTCCGCCCCCAGCACGAAGATGTCAAAGGCAGCCTTGAACTCTGGGGAGAGAGAGGAGAGGAGATGTGGGGGTCTTGCCCCACACCTCAGCCCTGCAGGTGAGCAGCCCTGGGGTGGGGGGCTGGCCCCTGGCACAGCCTCCCCTGCACAGGCACCCTGGCGCTGCCCGGGCACCACACGACAATGACACCCGGACACGTGCACACAAATTTTCTCGCGTGAAATGCTGGTGGATCAAAATCCCTGGGTTATGCCCTGCTTTGGCTGGCTGCTAGAAATATTCTGGGGTGTACTGGCTGCAGCAGGCTGGGCTGCCGGCTGGGGAGCTCGTCTTTAGGCTGTGATGTCAGGTTAAAGATGCACGTACCATTTTTTTGCTCTTCTGTCAGCTGCTCAACCTGCAAGGAAAACGCAGAGAGCAAGTCATTTTTCTTCCTCAGCATCGCCGATGGTTATAAGGTACCATTGTTTGTTCAGCAGCCTTCAGCCAAGCCTCAATGGTCACCCTCATGGACTACAGGATACACAACCGATCAGGTTTTGACACCACAACTTTTTGTAGTCTAAGAGATTCTTCCCCTTAAAATCAATTATCCCCAACTCCTTTGAAGTGAGCATTGTTTCTCCAGAGTGGCAGCATCCGAGACACAGCAGAAGTAGCCTTTGCACAAGCAGGGAAGACCCATTGGGAAAAAGCATTTGTCTCTGTCAACAATTTAGGGATAATTTCGTGTTGCTGGGAGGCTTCGCAGCAGGATGGCTGTGCTGCTGAGGGCTGCTCGTGCGTGGGCTGAGGCCAGGCCAGAGGTGGGATGTGCTGGAGAGGTCCCTGGGGAGGGAGAGGTGGACAAGATCATCCCTAGTAGTTGTCTATCAGCCCTAGATTCAGGAAGCTCTCTGCACTATCCAAGCATTAAGAGCTGGTCTACTTCCATCCAAGTCAGTGTTTCTGACAAGGGTTTCTGCCTCCGAAGGGAGCGGCTATTCCCTTTACCCTGTTTTGGGTTGCCGCCTGAAGAAACGCCCATGGGGCCATTAGGCGTTAGCCAAAACGGGCCAGCAGATTGTTCCCAAACCCTGCCCTAGCTCATTCCCTGCAGACAATCAGCAGGAGCTTATTAGTTAGCATGAATTAATTAAAATAATCAATGAGGAGAGCAAGAGGAATCCATCAGCCCCTTTGAGTGCATTTCTCTGTTTGGCTTCATTCCTGCCTGCAGGTATTGCTTATCTAAAATTGCTGACCCCACCACCGGGTCCAGCTGCCCCTTCAGTAGCATCCATTAAAATGCTGACTCTTCCCTCCCAGGCTGGTTGACAGCCTCTCCAGAGCCAGCCAGACATGACCCCTGCCAGGACTACCTCTGGCCCATGCAGAGGGTGCCTGACCCCACTAATGTCTCCTTACTGCCATCTCCATGCCATGTGTGAGCAGTCCCCAATACTCATCCCTGCCGTGTTTCGGTCAGGGCAGAACCCCTCAACCTGGGGTTGTGGCACCCTTAGAGGGAAGGCTGATGCTTTTGCCCCGAAGAGGAGTGGTTTTGCGAAAGCCGGCTGGATATCCTTCCCACTTTTTCTTAGTGGGACAGAGGCTACAGGAAGCGGGCAGAGAGCCTTATCCCACTCCTCACACACCAGGAGGTGAAGACTTTGAAGTCAGAAAGAGCTACAGACGGTGGCAGGATTGCCATAGCAGGAGGAAACCCAAGCCCACCATGGCCCCGGCACTGCTGAAGGCAGGCAGGCAGGCAGCTGCCAGCACTTCTGGGATATGGTTTGGGCAGAGTGAGGGCAGCCACAACGCTCCCTCGGCCGATGTCCACAGCCACCGTCCTGCCACTCGCGTAACCTGACCCTCTTGGTGCGTTGGCTATTTATAAGCCCGGGTGAGAGAGGTGCTGGAGATAAAGATGAGCTCCCTGATTGTTCCCAGGCTTTGGTATTTATCCTTGCAGCCCTTTATCTGGACACTTGTCCCTGGCACTGTTCTTCGTGTCGCTTAACAGAGCCTAAAAATGTTCCCGAAATAGCTTTGTGTTTGCACACCCTTATCTAGGCATGAGTGGGCAAGATGAAAATCCATTGGGTTCTCTGGTTGCACGTAGGGAATTTGGCGTAAATATAATATTAATATATGCCATCAGCATGCAGCAAGTAAAAAATACTCACTTCCAAAGTTTCCTTGACTACTGAAGTGATCAATGTGGAGCTATGCTCCATGTAAATGAAACGCACGGTAACTACAGAGTGACACTTTTGTTAGCGAGATCTCTCGAGCTGTTTATAGTGCCCTCTGGACATGGGTGCTGTTCGCAGCTTTAGTCCTCTTTTCCCTCCACATCATTTCAGGGACAGGTTTCTGCGGTGGCGGTGTGGACGCAAGCACTAAGCTCACAGCACTGGGCGGCCGTGGTAACGCCAAATCTGCTGTGCTTTGCTTTTATCGGCTCTCTCCTTCATCCCGTGTTTCCGTCTGAAGTCAGACAGGGGAAGTTGAAGTTCTTCAATTTTTTTTCCAGGTAAGTGTTTAAAAATCGTTAAAATCCTGGGGAATATATCCATGAAAACCCTGTTTGTCTCAGCTGTGCCTGACTTGGACTTGTTTTGCCTCTGTAAGGGTGCTGGCAGTTCATGCCCAGGACTCGAGTCCCACGTTTAACAGCACGCTCCTGCCTTCAAACCACCAGCAAGATCCTATGGGAGTCCATAGGGTCTTTTGTGTGGCTCATTTCCCTAGTCAAGGGCTCTGTGTTTGGGGTAAGTTTTTGGTATATGAGGTAGGAATTTTTGGGTTGTTCTCTATTGCCGCATTTCTTTTTTCTCAGCTAAATTCCTCCATGGTCCAACTCCACTAGAGCCCACAGGCTTCAGCTAGGAATGACCTTCTCCTGTGGATTTTTGCCCATCTCTGGGGCAGAGGTTGGAGAGAGGCTGGAGCTTGTAGGTGGGGAACCTTTTCTTTTCAGGGTTCTCCACCCATGTTGCCAGCACGTTGCCCCAGCTGATGGACAGACCCTCTGGCTGTGGGCATCTCGGCTTGCAAAGCACTTCAGCCTTTCTTGCTAACTACATGCATGAGGTCCCTCAACAATGAGGAGAGGACCTGTGCCTTGAGCAGCAGAGAACATATTTAATTAAAAAGCTTAATTAGAGAGGCCTGGATTTTCTTTGATTTTTCACATTTTTCTCCCTTTTTGAGGTGTTGGCTGGGGTACTCAGCGCTATATTGCACAGCCATTCCTGAGCCTTTTCACGCTATCGGGATTGCTTGGGGGGCTCCATTTCACAAGGTTCAAGGAGGAGGACCACCAAAGGACAGGAGAGGTGTGAGCATTTTGTTGTTTTCTTCAATTACGTATCCTGCAATATCTTTCTTCCCTTTAAAAAACTTGGAATTACAATAGGACTTGTATGATGTAGTTTTTGTGCCTTTGGTTAAAAATCAAACCTGATGAACTATATATTTTAAATTTAAAAAAGCACCAAAAAGGTCTTATTTTATCTCCAGTTATGCAAGAGAGACAGTAGCAATCCACACTATCCAGAATCTATTTTCATCCTTATTCCACTCACGTATTGCTGCCTGTCTATATTACAAAATAATGCAGTGTCCTTATTACAGACCAAATAGTTTGGGTTTACCCGATGAGCGCAGCGTGCAGCTGTGTAAGTTAAAATAGCCGTTAGGATGCTCTACGTTCCCCAAGAGCATAGCTCACATTCTGGATTTCTGCAGAGCAGATATCGGGAGTGGCAAAGCAGAGGTGGATGTTTGGAAATAACTTACAAAAGCTGAGGGTTTTTTCAAATCTCCCAGAAAAATATTCAGCTAAGGAAGGGGAAACATAGCAATGGCAGAGTTACAAAGCGCCACAAAGAAGGTGAGGTTTAACTCATGGGAAAGATCTGTGTCTTGGATGAAGACATTGACTAAAAGATGCCACCCTATAATTATTTCTTATTAGTATTTCTCCACTGAATTAATTCCATCACACTATAAAATCCTCAAAAACCCTTTAAACCCCCCCAAACGACAGCCCCAAAGGCAGGCACTTACCGCTGCCTTATAGATGTCATCCATGGCTGGAGAGGGTGGGCGAGGGGCTGAGGGATGTCACGGTCACACTCTGCCGGCACTGTGCCCGTAAGCCTGGCTGATATAGGGGGCTGCCCGCCCCGGTGATGTGACCAGCCCACTGGCAGCCCCGCATGCCCATTCCTGTCCCTGTCCCAGCCCCGTCCCCACAGGAACGCCTCGCCTGCGTGCCTTGGGACAGCCAGCCCCAGCCCCGCTTCGGGGCAGCTGGAGGTTTCCTGGTGACTTTGATGTGGGAACGAGTGAGCCCTTTCTGTCCGATTTCTGCAGGACCCTTGCTGGCATATTGGGATATTTGGCTGTCCTGACCGCATGCATGTCACCCTGCCACCTCCACCTCCCGTGTGTTCCCCATCTGGAAGCTGCATTAGAAAGATTATACTGTGCCTAATTAAATCAGGTAATAGGGGAAAGGCATGCCTCCCAGAACATCCCCGTCCAGCAGCAATGCCCCCCAGGGGCAATGGGAACAGGAGATGTCGGGGCCTCCCTGTCTCCTCTGCCAGCTGTCCCCAAACTAACAGGGGGACATGGGGCTGGGGTGGATGCCCTCAGAAGAGCCGATGCCATGTGCGTGCAGGCACTGAGGCCGAGGGGAATGTGTGGTGCCGATGCTACGGCGAGGAGAAGCATGGAGGCAGATGGACGTGGCCTCTGTTTTCTGTGTTCTGCTGGGGCTGTGAAATGGGGGCGAGCAGTGGGGTGGCTGTCAGCTGAGCTCGATTTCAGGGATAATTCCCAGTGTTTTAGGAAACCAAGACTCACTTCACTCAATCAGTGAGCTGACCTGTGCCCACTGCAAACGGGGAAAATCCACTCTCCTGGGTTCATCATGGATTTACCCCACCACCGTGGAGAATAAAACACGCCAAAGGCCTCCAAGTGATGACCAGCATTTTCTCCGTGCTGGGAAAAGCGTTTTAATCCACAGCTACCAAAGCAAACCCTCTTTTTGGTGATTCGGGACTCCCTCTTGTGTCCAAAAGAGCTACAGATGGCTCCCGTGTCTCCGGGAGATGAAGGCTCACCTCCAGCGAGCTCATATTGCTGTTAGCAAGACTGAAAATACCACGAATGCAGCTGTTAGGTTTCATCTCTTCTAAAAATCACTTTCTCCCTTTAATAGAAGTAATGTTTCATGCAAAAAAAAAAAAAATTGCTGTCCCTGTATAACCCCTAGCCAGAGTGGCGTTAACCAGGGACCCAGGGTGGTGTCAGCACGAAGCGAGGGCACAGAGGGGCTCAGAGCAGTGGCCCATGCCACATCCTCCCAGGTTTTGCAGTCCCAAAAGATTTACTTGCTCCAGAGCCTGGTATGAACTGTGGTCCTGCGGGCACCCGCTG